TTTGGATAATAGGCCGAAGTTCGTTCAACTGGTACTTTTTGTTGTGAATACCAAAGGATTTTTTAATATTTAAATCAATCTAAAAAAATTGGAATTGAACGACTTTTGTTCTATTAAAGCAACCTTTAAAGCGTAAAGTTGCATTGATACTTTTAATGCGTAAAGTTGCATTTTTAAAAAGATCTTTGCGAGAAGGTTGAATGTAAGTTAGAATGTAAGAGTAGAATCGTTCATTCGATGAGAAAATACGAGAAAATATAGTAAAAATTGCAATTTAATTTTTTTTTCTGCTTTGAACCAGATTTGAGAAGTTTTCTCGGTGGTCCCTGCTGACCTGTGCTTTATAAAATTTCAGTGATTCTTTTGTTCTTTGAATAAACTATAAATAATTTTCTCACATAATGAACAACAAACATTATATTTACTAACTGAGCGACTCCATTTGATTATTGTAAAATAGTCGGTTTTTACAACTCTGATTCGAACGCCAGCCCAACTTTGTTCCAAAACCCATCGAACCTATTCGTTTGAACTTTTGATTTAATAAATGTGTTCCCGCTCATTTTAGTTTCGGTTTATTAAAACAGTTCTGACTAAGCGAGCAAATTTAATTAGCGTGTTTCCGAATTTATGACGTAATTTACAATGGGATTAAACAGCAATTAATTGGGAAGACAAATTGTAAATCACGGTTTCCTTCGAGCAAGTGACGTTGCGAAAACTATCTGGATAGTTTGTCACTGCTATACATGGTCTCAACAAATCCACACTGTCACTCGACACTCTGGAAAAAAATGGGAAGAGGCAGTTTGGTAAGATTAATGATATTTGGGAAACCTTCTTGTTAGCTAAATTGATTTTGTTTCCGTGCGTTTATTTTTTTTTAACACATTTGCTTGCAGATGGTTCAACCTTGTTGAACATGCAACAATTTTTGTTTGATGTTTTCTCAAGAGTTTCATAAACGTTTTTTGTCTAGTTTGTGGCTCGTTCCATCTTTGGTTATTTTACTTTTTTGATTGTGGGTATTTGAGACTTATTATGAAGGATTTGTTTTTTGAATTGATGGTAAATGTGTTAGTGTAATACGTCGAATGTATGTATAATGTCTTTGCAAATGTAAGTAAAGTTTAATTGTGGTTGGTGCGGAGCATCTGATTTGTAGAAGAGTAAGCTAATTTTTCTGGTATTAAATTGTATTTCGTTGTTTTTTTCGTGCACGCCATGAAACTCTCCTTGTTGAATCACGTCATTAACTTGATCCAAATGAACCGAGTTGAGGACGGATCACATTTCATTATTAACGACTATTTTCGAAGTTGAGGCTAATCAAGAGCATGTTACCAAAAGCTGGTTTCACTGTCGCCGAGGGAGACGCTCCACATCGCACAGCGTCGCGACGCTGTCGCACGCCGATCCTAAGTTTATTAATTACTTGCCACACAGGGGACGAATCTTATTACTGTCTAATGTTTGATGTAGATGGGGCCGATAATCCCCTGGAACGTATCGAATTCATGTATGCCTTGCAGTGTTTAATTAATTATTCACAATCTTGTTACAGTCACTCGTAGAAATCGTTCGAAGAAACTTCAGTTAAAATCCCGTATAAATGTCCAATTAAACAAAGAAAACCCGTGTTTCGCTCCTGGGCATCATCAGACGTTAGATATCTATACAAAACAGAAAGTAAAACAAAAATTGCGTGATGTGCACAAAACATTGACCTGATCCGTACTAGCATTGACGACGTAAAATAAATCAAACAACCCCTTTTTTTCAGGAAACTTGAACCTGAACATATAACCATTATCAACAAGAATCAGGGCTTTTATTTTATTCGTAATTGTTACCGTCATAATTTGCAAAGAATTTAAGCATACAACAGTGCTCAATTCAACCAATAGCTACTCCATATACAGAGCGTAATCTCTATGTCTACGATTTGCAGTTCAATAAGCTGCCTGTTAAGCAAATAGTGGAGAAACTTTACTCTTCGCATAACACACTAATTGGCAATAAGAAGCTGCATCTCGCGGTATGGCAGGTGAAGCTGAATATTGAATACCCTATTTTGTATTGATTACATTATAATCTTTCGATGTAAGTCGGATAATTGAATAGGAGAATAACATATTCGTGGTTTGAGCGTTTTTGAGGAGTCCGAACAGATTCTACAATTTGCACGTTTTACTAGTATTTCGCATGTATTTTACGATAAAAACCAAATAGTCACAGTTATCTCTGTTTTTTGAGAGTGACAAAAGACAAAAGCGGAAAAGCTGAGCGCGTTAGCTTAGACGCCAATTACACTAAACATTCACGGAAATATGTCTTCATTGTAACATTTCCAATAAAACGGCAAAACTCTTACAGTCTGACTTTTCCAATTCCTGTGTAAACAATGATAACCCATCATATTGCGATACAAAATGCGAAAAAGCACTCAAGTCTATAAGTTCGCTTTTATGAGTATCGGAAGTATTGCCAGAAAGCTCGCTAATCAAGCAGCAAAAACCCTTTACGATCTGGGGCTTCGGAATCTGGCTTTATCCATTAGGAATGAGGTTGCAATAAAAGTTTCCGCTAAACCATAGATCATAATTATTTCAGAAACACCTCAAGCTGAAAGGTGATTTTTAACATTTTCTTAATTAAGTTTAGAAAGAGCACTTTACGTGAACACTTGCAGTCGTAAACAACAGCTTAAAATCGCTATTAAGAGTTTATGATTCTAATACTCAGAAAATCGGGAGTGTAACTTGGGTAGACAAGAATTCGCTTTTTTAAATTGATGAAACCCATCACAATGTTCGAAATTTATTCTCGTCTACACCTGAAATAATTTCCGAACTTAACTTTCCAGCGATTGTAAATTCTCAACTTTTAATGCACGGTTATTCTATTTAATTCTCGATGGCAATATGTGACAATGGGTCCCCATCTATGCGGACACTGTCGATTTACCAGAGTGAAATAATATAGAGCAGCTCTATTCGCATTCACGGCACAACTTCCCCGTGAACTGTTGAAAACTTCTGGTGCATAGAAGCGCAGATTTATGCGGTCAGAAGGGCTCGGAATAGTTCTTTCGAGCCATCAAACATTAAATACCTGTTCGAATGAGAAAGTTTGCGAAATACGTTATTTAGGTCACATTTTGAGGATATTTCTATGTCTGCGGGATTAAGTTGAACTTTTGAAATGGCGGGTAAGTTTTTTTGGATTTCTAATTAAAATATATCAGATTTCACCCATATTACGAATTGAGAATATTTCTATAAATATTCTGTGAGTTTTGAAATAATTTAGTTGGTGGTTTTGCCGTGTAGCCACTAGGCCGTGTAAACCTCACCATTTTCAATGGACCGAATTCTAAAGTTTGTTTTTTTTTTACGTTAGGCAAAATCCGCAGCATCTTGCGGACGTTTGAAAATTTGGAGTCTAATGAATTATTTGATTATATTGACGAAATTCCATGTGATAATAATAGTGAACTTGGAGACATCTCGGATAATGAAATTACCAGTATTAATGATAATATAGTAATTCCAAATTCGGAAAACTTGTTCGATATAGAAAGCATACCCATTATTTTACCAAATGAGGATCATTGGGACAGTGAGGATGATTTAACGTTATCAGATATAAGCTCAAGCGAATTAGCAAAAACTACCACGTGGTATAAAAATATTAATCACTGCGTGCAAAATATAAAATATTTTGCGAAAACACCTGGATCACTGGTAATTTCAGATGTGATGTCGGCTTGTGCCTATCCGACAAAAAAAAATGTTTTGTGGCTTTTCAGCACAGTTAGTTATACAATGAAGAGTTAGACGTAATTACTTTTCAGCCCAAATTTTTTGTTCGGTACTGCCAAGTGGCGACAGTGTGGAGCCACCTGTTTTTGTAAAAACTAATGAAAATTTTGATAAAAATCATGTGTATTAATTATTTTAGTTCAATAAAATGTACGAAAATCATGTTTTTAAAATAGTTTTTTGCATATAAAAAAGTTGGGCCGCAAAGGGTTAAATTAAATGAGTGACTGAGTGAGTCGCAGAAGTAATGTAGTTCAGTAACAAAGCCAGCGTTCTTGACAATTTCCAAAGCGATTAATAATCTCTTCTTACACTTTTACAACCATTCAATTTCAACTCCTACAGATTGTTTGACCTAGTAGCTACTTTTGCTTTGAGGTACACGCACACAAATAAATCTATAAGAGTTAAATCTAGCGACCTGGGAGGCCATTTAATAGGACCTCTCCTTTCTATCCACGTGAAGCAGCAACGTCTTGCTGAAAAATCAGTTTCTCGTCAGGGGAGTTTGGATTTAATGTATTTACTAATAAAGGCAACCATGATGGAATTAATTCAATTTGGAGAAATTCTAGATGCACTTGTCCAGTTAGAGACTGTTCAAAGAAAAACCGTTCTATTACTCTTCTACTTTTGGGGCTACTGGTTGTGAACCTTCATCACCCAAGGCGGATTCACATAATCATTCAAACATAACTCTTCTGGAACTCACTGCCTAATGTGTAATAATAAAATTATACAATCGACAGCAAAGCCGAAAAAATCTTGATGAATTCCTAGTTCTCTTCCCTCCTGATATTAATCACTGATATTGGAACGCCAAACTTTATAATCGCCTGCCGAAAACTCGTAAATAATCTAAGCCACAGGAATAGATTTCTTTCGGGCCATTTGAAATATACGAAAGAAAAATATCAATTCTTTCAAAGATGAAATATTGCACCCGCAATTCTATTTATCATTTCGTTTGCCAATCCGGACACTACCGCGAATCCATTCATCGTTTCCCGCTACTTGTAAATTCAGCGAGACGAAATTCAGTTCGCTTTCATCCGATAATTCATCTTGAGACAGACATAGCTACGGGACTGAACTCCAAGATGTTGAAGCCGGGATTTTTCCTTTTGCAAATGCGAAATTTGTTATTTTAAGGTTGTTTATCTGTTTTATCATCAGGCTGTTACTAGAACGATTACCAGACCATATCAAGATGGTGGAGGAGAAAACGAAGGAAACTGCGGTTGCTACCGAAGAAACATCGGCTAAAACTGACGAACCTAAGACTGGGCCTAAAGAATCAAAACAAGAGGTAACACCAACAAAAAATGAAAAAATAGAGAAATTGGATGACGAAATCAAACTGGACCTTGGTGATGCCACTTTGGTATTATCGGCCGAGGACGAGGTTGAAATTGCTGCTCAAGCCACCGAAGAACTTAGAAAATCCGAATCCCCTGCTGTGAAGGTAACTATCTTTAATATTTTCAACCTGAAACTTTACAAGGACATATTTCGCCTAGACCTCGCCAAAGGTTAAGGGCGGAAAAGAAACAAAGAGGAGCGTGTGGGTATCAAACATATCAAAGGGCACCAAGGCGGCCGACCTAAAAAAAATATTCTCCGAAAAGTACAAAATCGAAAGTGCGAAAATAGTCACCAATGGCAAGAGCCTGTTTGGCTATATTTGCTTGGAGTCGCTGGAACTGGCTCAGAAAATGGTCAAAGACTTTAACGGAACAGCGCTGGATGATCGGAAGCTGGCTTTGTCGCTGTCCCGGCCTGATTTGCGGTCCTCCTCGGCTGTGGATAATAAACGTGATAAGGAATCGAGGCCTCGAGTGTCCAATGGAGTAAAGCGAACCGCGAGCAATGCGAAGACAGAAACCTCAACGTCAGAGGACGGAAGGAAAGGAGACAGCAACGATTCAGGAAAAGGTAAGTGTTTATAGAATTTTTTGCTAATGCAATTCTGACTTTAGGTCTAAACCTAATATCCCTAGTTAATTACTATTGGCCCATTAAAAAGAACATCAAACGTACATGCGTGAGCCATTGCAAGCGCCAGCTTCGAGTTAAATCCCATGTCCTGACCCATGTTCAATGTACATTAGCAAATTTGTCGGGAAATCTGCTATAGAAAATTCTCCCAGTGCATCGCAACAAACGCATCGCACTTCTCTTCACTGCAAATGGAAATAATCTCTTGGGACATCAGCCTCACATGCTAAGGCAGGGACAGAAGGAGTCCATCGATCTCAATGTGAAAATTGGTATAAGGAATCAGTTGAACACTGCTAGAGACTTCAATTAAACGGCATCGCACGAAGGATCGGGACTGAAAACTGCCGGAAATTAGCTAGCCATATCGAGGATCTCACGACCCACCCAGGACGGTAGGACAAGATTACATGAAATGGGTCAGGGAAAATCTTCTGTGCTCACTCTCACACTCAAAACCCGTGATAATGATATTCCTCAATTCAATGTTGGAACGCGGAAACGCGCCAAATGAAAATACACATTTTTGCATGAATGCTTTGCTGTAAAATGCGCTAGAATCTATTGGGTTGTTTGTTTCAAAGCTTGCTAAAACAATGCACTTTGTACAAAGCAGACCACAGTACCAAACGAAACAAGGTAGTAAACCAAAGATCACTCGTTAAGTGCACTTTTGAATTCTTCTTATTTTTTAAGTGCCCTTATAGGGCCCCTAGGCTGTAAAAGTTCCGGCGTTTCCTGCAATATTTCGCAATTAGGTCTTTCTCATGGATATTTTATTACGCGCATATCGCAGCAATTTTTCCCCAACATTCCCATCAAAGTGTTCCAACATTTAGCAGCAATCGTTTGCTTGAACTGCTACTGCCACCACTGCAACTACTTAACACCAACTTCCGTTTCGAATGTTTTCCCATCAGTTCTGTACCGCGCGACAGGAATACGTGCCCCCAAAATCCAGTTCCCAATGCCCTTGATAGACCAAAGTGATATTTTAGATGCCAAACAGCCCGGAAAAGAAAAGGAAAAAGACGCCCGCGATGAGGAAAAGCGCCGGCTTCAGGTGCGGCTACAACGTTCACAGGAAGAATCCGATCGTACCATTAAGAACCTAAAAACGGATTTCAAGCGGGTCACCATCGAATTGCAAAATAATAGGCGTCGTCTCACCGAAGCCACCCGCAATCTGGACCAGGAGAAAGAGCGAAAAGTCAGCATGCGACGCGAAATTGAAGAATTGAAGGCGCAACTGAAGTCCGAACGCAGAAGATTCGAAGAGGAAATCGAGCAGATGGGGAAAAAACGGCGGTCGGAGGAAAATAGGTACGTAGTCATTGCGGCCGGGTACTACCGAAAGCGTGCATCAAGGAAGCAGTCGCCTCAGCCATACTCAGCACTCAGCTATGGAAGTTTGAAGTCAAGGAGCAGCAATCATTGGAACTCACCTGCGACGCAAGACCAACACCTGGAGCCTTAAGTATGAACGGGAGCAACTTCATTTCAGAATACTCGACTTATTTCAGCTACTTCATCACCGCTTAGTGCTTCAACCAAACGATGCTGGTTAAAACATCCACGTCTATTTCAATCTCAGCCTCTCATACGCTCGTGGCTGGACATTTTCAATTTTCAGGAAAAAGCCACACAAATATTTCCATTCAGTGCGTGCAACTTTATAAGCATCGAAGCCCTCCTAAAACAACCACCATTAGACACCGTTATTTAGTGAACCGCCTTCCATTTGCACATGTTTAATTGTAACACTCTGTTTCTGCAGTTTTAAATGTTTATAGATTACCCTTGCAATGACTAAGTCTTCCAATGGGGAAAATTCGAGTTTTATCTATCTTTATTATCAATTAATAGATACCAGGAGGACAGGGAAATGTTAACCAGGGAGCTTAATAAGTGCCGAGAAGTTCGGGAGTTTCTACAGAAGAAAATTGATGATATTGTGCCGGTGCGACATAGCAGAAGTTCTCCGCGCAGATCTGATAGGGAAAGCGATAAGGGCCATCGGTAAGTTTCAGGTTTGAAATTAATTTTCAAAAAATGATTATTTATCCGTCTATGCGGGCGCAATTGACCGAACTTCGAAAATTTCTCCTTTTCCAAGTCACACCATTTTCGTCAGAAACACCGCTCCAGTAATATAAATTGGACGTTGGTTAATTGGGGGTTTTAAGCAATAAGTTTCAGTTAAATCATGGGTAGGCAAGTTATTTGTAAAAACCCAAAATGTTCAAGAGAGTGAAAAATGGAAAAAAAATGTGGTGTTTTTTATTATCGATGATATCACAGAAATGGAAATGTTTTGCAAATGTGCAAGATAGAAATCGGAAAGTCTTTCCACATTTAACCGGCGCTTGAAAAAACTACACTACTAAATCCATGTATGTATATGGAGGTGTAAGAAAATCTTTTCGTTTGCTCAATGCGCGATTGTTACTGTGTAGTTTAAAAAATTGAGACAAATTATTTACCATTGAATCTGAGCTCTTGATAAAATGAGGATCTGTATTTCAGAATACGACAAAGTTTTTAATCCGTTTGAAGTAAGTCGGGTCAACGCGAGGCTTTTTTCAGCAGAATTTGAACTTTTTTATCTTCTAGAATAGAAATCCTAATTTTATCAACTTTTTGGATTCAAAATAAATGGAATTTTTCCTAATTTTTTTAAACTACATTCTGTCAGTCGCGCATTGACCGCTGAACGCAAGATTTATTTCAGCAGGATTAAAGTTTTTATCTTTTGCAGTACAAATCCTAATTTTATCAACCGTTTAGATTCAATGGTAAATAGTTTTTCTCATTCTTTTCAACTACATTCTACCTATCGCGCAAATCCTAATTTTATCGCGCATTAAGATTCATTAGTAAATGAATTTTAATGATTTTTATGTTCAAAAGTTAATTGATTTTTTCGTATTTGTTTTAAATAACCTTTTGTTAACCGCGCATTGTCTACTGAACGCAAGGTTTATTCCAGCAGGATTTTAACTTTCTTCATATGGAATACAAATTTTATTAACTATTTAGATTCAAAAGTTAATTGACTTTATCTTATTTTTTTAAGCTACATTCTGTCAATCGTCTGTCAATTCTGTCACATTGTGTTCTAAACGGAATAATTGTTTATGAAGGATTTTAATTTTTTTCATTCTCTGGAATGCAAATCCTAATATTATCAACTATAGAAAAGTAAATAATTTTTGCTTAATTTTTAAAACTATATTTTGTCAATTTCGCATTGTCTGCTGAACGCGAGATTTATTTCAGCAGGATTTTAACTTTTTTCATCCTCTGGGATACGAATCTTAATTTTATCAACTAATTATGTTCATAAGTAAATTGATTTTTTTAAATGTTGTAAACTACATCCTGTCAATCGCGCATTGTCTGCTGAAAACGAGATTTATTTCAGCAGGATTTTAACTTTTTTCATCTTCTGGAAAACAAATCCTAATTATATCAACTATTTGATTCAAAAGCAAATTGCTTTTTTGTTAATTTTTGAAACTACATTCTGTCAATCGCGCATTGTCTGCTAAGCAAAAGATTTTATCAGCTACATATTTAGATTCAAAAGTCAATCGACTTTTTCTTAATTTTTTAAGCTACATTCTGCCAATCGCACATTGTCTTCTAAACGGAAGAATTCTTTCTGAAGGATTTAAATTTTTTTCATCCTCTGGAATGCAAATCCTAATTTTAGCAACTATTCAAAAGTAGATAATTTTTGCGAACGCGAGATTTATTTCAGCAGGATTTTGGCTTTTTCATCAACTATTTATGTTTATAAGTAAATTGATTTTTTTAAATGTTTTAAACTACATTCTGTCAATCGCGCATTGTCTGCTGAAAACGAGAATTCCAGCAGAATTTTAACTTTTATCTTTTAGCATACAAATCGTAATGTTATCAACTATTTAGATTCACTAGTAAATAATTCACTCGTAAAATATTAAATAATTCTCATTTTTTTCAACTAAATTCTATCTCTATCTATCTATGATTTTTTCTCTACAAAAACGACATTTTTTAGGGGAAGAATGGACAGTAGGGTAGGAGGTCGCAGTCCTCCACCTCCACCGAAAATTAACCGGCGCTCCAGAAGCCCCCACACCTACAAAGGTGCCAAGAAGCCAAGAGTGGACAGTCAGTCCACTAAACCCATATCTTATGGCAATAGCCATTATGAGGCTCCGTCTCCCTACTCGGGAAGTTCAAAGTCGTTATTGGGTAATTACCCCCATCCAGTTCCCTCCGGAGGATCGGGCATCTATGTTAGTACATCCTATGTTAACCCGCATAGGTATAGTGGTTCCTCGTCTACATATCCTGGATCTTTTTCGGTTGGTACCCCCACACCCTTAATGTCTAGGCCGCTGGCCTATCCAGACATAAGAAGTTCTGGGAGTAGCCAACGCAAATATTAGTTGTTTTTAATGGAACTCTGTGCATCTTTGGATAATACTTTATCGGGTTATTTTTAACGTCTGCGTTGCAAGTTTATGCAGGTCTTTATCCAGTTGTTGATCAGAGCGTAAGGAGTATTTTTTGGATCTAATTTTCATTTACTTCGGGAGCATTTGGTTGAATGTGCCATTCAACCAAATTCCTGAATCAATTCCTCTAATTTCGTTCAGGTTCTCGTTTGGAAATTTTTTCACTAAAACTAACCCATAGTGTAGTTACTGTAATGATTCTAGGGGTTGAAGATATTGATAGCGATGTTTCGTTTTATTAAATTAGATCAGAATACAACCGGAATTTTCATTTCTGATCGTGTTGTAGTCAATATTTGTCCGAATATGCTAACTTGTATGCGTTCAGGTTCATTTCAGCGCTGGCACAAAATACATTTTTTTAAGGGCAAAAACCAGTCAACCACTTCAGAAACGGTTTATGATTATTCGGTGGCAACACAGAGTCAATGTGTTCCAACATTAGTGTAGCCGTTCGGTTTTAGGCAAGTTTTAGTGTTGAGTGAACTATTTTTCGGTAAGTATTTTATTGCAAAAACTGTCTGGTTGAGGTACGTGTTTTGGAGGATTGAAATTTTTGAAAATATTTCATCGAATTGCATTCCCGATGTTTGTAACGACAGCGCGTTGAAAATGATGGAGTTTTGCAACAAGTTGAAGTAAAAATATCCTGGATACTGTTGAAAAGGGTTTATCAATAGAAAAAAGCTGGAAAACTGTCGGTGTCTATATTAACCTTTTGAGTCGTGGAAATTAAACTGATGTTTTGGCACGGCTTTTAAAGCAAAGTGTGCTTCTTTGGGAATCTGCCCGAGTGGAAATTAGTCATGTTCCCACCTGAATATTAAAACCATATTCAACCTTCACTGAGCTGCACCGTAATATTTTAGCCACACAACCGCAATATTGGGTAATGTATCATGTAAACGTGGTCTTGGTGGGTGGTGTTTATAATTTTCTTGAATTTATGTTAAGTTTACTAAACTAAGAAGCCGATTTATTAATTTTCATTTTTAGAATGAATGGATTCTAAACTTTACACGGTGCAAAGGTAGATTAGCGGTGTTGAAATAACGGATTCATGGCTCTAAACATTTTCTTAGATTAAAAATTTATAACACTTTAAAAAAAATTAAACATGAATTCACAGATTACGTTAGATCAAAATTAACACCACACAATAGTAAAACACCACATTTTTACGGAGTTCCAAAAATTCATAAAGTTAATATTCCTTTACGACCAATAGTTAGTAGTATAAATTCACCTACACATCCCTTAGCCAAATATCTTTTAAACATTTTAAATCCCCTAATAAATAACACAACTTCCTATATTAAAAATTCTGAACATTTTTCACAAAAATTATCAGACATAGACATAAATCCAAACCATATTCTAGTAAGTTTTGATGTTGTTAGTCTATTCACTAACGTTCCTGTTGATAAAACTTTAAATATCATCAAACAAAAATTACAAAATGACATCAATCTTAAAGAACGCACACAACTAAGCATTAACACCATTATTGAACTTTTAACAATATGTGTAAAGTCAACTTACTTTCAATACAATGACAATTTT